CAGTGTCAAAAGGTTACTCCTTTTTGAATTATCCACAACCATGGACATCCGGCCAATTTGGATCTTCGTTAGGTACATTACACCAATTGTCTCTTTTATTTAACATAATTACATCACCAGAAACTTTATGTTGAAAAGTATCATAACCGGCCTAAGCCATCTACGCGTAATGCATAACATCCTTTCAAATGGTTTCACCGCTAAGAACTCTCCATCTCGTTGCGATTTCTTTAATGATGCTATTAATTTCTCCTCTTTCATCATCATTTTTAATTTGGTATTCCTATAAATATAATTCAAGAGTATAGATTGGATTGTGATTTTGAGCCATATTACGTCAAAGGTTTAGTGTGTGCATATGTATCACTGATATCCAGGGTGTCATGGGACAAGTAGTGCAAATAGCAAAATATTTGATCTGAGCCATTATCAGTTGAATTTGAATTTGATCTGATCCGTTATTCGTTTCGATTTCATTCCGAAAAATTCACATATTCGTAAGTAAAACTTTGAATAAGGAATAACAAAATGTGATATTCGTAAAAAAACAAACAAATCACAAAAAAAATTGTTTAGAAAACCGAATATCTGTTCTGATCTATACATTATGGATATGTAATGTAATTACATATACAAAACATTATATCTATACATGTTGTATGATATAATTTGGTTAATTTTTTATATTAAGTTGTTTTCCAAACTTTTGTTTTGGCTTATTGCATATTCAATTTATTATTATGCTGAGTCAAATGTTAACATATGAGTTTTCTTACTAGGCTTGTAAATATTGATTTTTTTTTTGTTTTTGTTTTGCTTTACATTTTATGTTAAAGATGTTAGTCCTTTTGTATGTTATTTTTATTTTAATTTAAATTGATATTATAAAATTTTCTTAGTTTTAATGTTATATATATTATTATTTAATTTAATTTTTATTTTTAATATAATTGCAGGACAAATTGAATAATCCGCTAATGTTTAATGAATTCAAAATATCCAGAATTTTATGGATCGAAACGAATTACAAATGTAGATATTTGCTTTGGAGCGGAGCAGATCACCGCAAATAATAAAAAAAATGATCGAATTGAATCACCTTTCGTTTGGAGCGGAATAAATCACAAATACTGTAAATATTTTGGATATCCCCTCTGTGCCCATATTTTATAAATGACCAGTTCTAAATTCTAATGTAATACATACATACACATAAATAATATAATTTGTTAAAACATTATTAACTTAGATTGAAAATATTCAAAAATAGTATACACACATTTCATGCTCTTTTGAATGTATCTCCTTCTCTTGGATTTCAAGAGAAAAAATTCTGTGGCTGATAGTTTAGCAAAACGGGTCTTGTCCGTTGAGCTAGCTTTCAATTCCCCACCAAACATTTGATGTTTTATTAATGAAAGTGTGTTTCAAAAAAAAAAGTATACACACATTTCGTACATAAATCTTCAATTATTAAAAATATTAAAGAAAAGTTTCAACGGGTTAAAACTTTTTTTGCCCTAAGATCTTTAAAAGTGTTCAGCCAGCCAGCCAATTTCTTTGTTGAGAAAGTTCAGCCAGCCGGTTGATCGTCAATTGCTTGTAGGTTGTAAACATGGAGCAAGTTATCTTAACATAATATATATGCTTTGAATAGGTCGATTAATTATTACCTATATTTGAATAAGATTTTATATTCGTTTATGACAAAACTGATAGGCAAAAAAATTTATACAAACAATTTAATATTGTTTCAGACTACAAAAGTAATACAGTCGATAAAGAGCCACGTATATTTCCGAATTTGATGGTCATGTCCAATGTATGCAGTATGTTAACAAAAAAAAAAACACATATAAATTACATGATTTCAGATTTTACTAGGTAGAGTTCTTATTCTGTGATGATGTGTCCACACTATTCTAGTTCGGCAATAGTGATCTCAACGGAAATAAAAAGGTCCACTAACGTGAAAGATCCGTAGACAAAATCAAAAAGCCAACTAATGTCAGGTTATACGTTCCACCAATGTTGACAAGTTGATGTTTGTCAACGTAAAATTTCCACTAACGTTGACAGTATTGCCCAATTGGTGGATCATTTGTATCTACTCTATTAAATCAGAAGTACAAAAAGATTCTTATCTTTTCTTATCTGATTATTTACATTTTTTTTAAAACTAATTCTAACCAATTTATTTATTGTATTTTCTAAATATTTATAAATACTTCATTAATTTTATTTTCCAAATAATCCGATACCATTTATTACAAAAATACAAAACAATAATTCCTATTTTAAATGTTTTATCTTTTACATTCTTTTTCCTAATTATTTCATTAATTATTTTTAACATAATAATTAAAAAAAATATATTTTATATGTTAAATATGACAATTTGATAGGTTTGAATAAAACTACTCCATTCAGAACATGAATTTGAAACGATTAACAATAATTCCTTTTATCTACTTACAAAATCAATTATAAATGAGTATTAAGACACATGTTCAGATACAAAACATTTATTTCAAATATCGAATTTTAAATTAGACTTAGTTTAGATATTAAAAAGAACCCAACAATATTAAAATAACTAATATACAATTAGTTATATAGTAATATATCTAAATATATAACTCTAATTACTAAATATAAATATTAATCTATAGTAAAAAACTAATATCAGCACAAGCTCTAGTTCCTTTTAACAGAGTAGTTTAATATGTCATTTTTGTTGATATTTTTTATTTTGAAAGCTAGTTTTTAAGTAAATAATATAACTATCTTAATTTTATTTTGTTGATACAAATGTAAGAATTATTTATTTTCATGTAAAACACATATTACTAGGTATTTTATTGTTTTGAATTCAACAATATTATAAAATAAATTTATTGTTGTGCATATCGTACATGAAATTTTTAGTATTAAGTAAATAATAAAATGGGTAGTGCTGTTATTCAGAACAATATTACAAGAATATTCATTTTATTTAAAAAAAAATTAGAGAAAATGAGTTTATATTAGAGTTTTTTTAAATGACCATTAAAAAGAGAGATGGTTTGATGAAATAACCAAGTTTTTTTAAGAAATTTGACGGTGAAAATTTCAATATATAACTATAACCTTAAAAAATAAATATAGTCCTTTAACTTATTACTATAAGTTTCCGAATAATATAACAAAAATGAACTGAAAATGTATTTTACATGTGCATTAATATTAATAACTAATAACACCTTTCAGAATATAACTTAAGAATTGATATAAAGATTAAAAGAACAATATAAATATATCATAAATAAAATAGTAATTACTGTTTTATTTCAACAATTAAAATAATTCTACATTACAAAAACTGACTTATGGAAATGTAAATAAACTGTTTAGCATGAGTTGGTATATATTAAAATTTAGTCAACTGACGTAAAAATTAAATTGATTAAAATATTGCATTTAAAAAAATTAAATGACATATGTTTACTAAAAGTAAATAAGTCAATAACATAAAAATAAAATATAAGTTGACGAGCACAATAACTACCTAAATTCACAACAAGTCAATTTTGATAGAAGAATCATATAGCGAAAATATATCTGCTTTAAAATAATTCAACTTTAACTATAAGTAATTGATTGACTTAAAATATAAGTCAATAATTTAAACACGGTAACTTTATTAAAACTCAGGAGAAAACGATAGAAATCTATAAATAAGTTAATGAAAGTAACATATAAATCCATGACCACGAATAGATAACCCAACAACTAGGAGGTCAGCTTTATATAAAAATCTATCAACTAATATATATAAGTCAATTTATAAAGAAACTATTAACTATTTGTATAATGGTAAACTGATTATTCCTAAATATTTGTTTAATATTTTCTTTGACGATGAAGTATGAACCTAAATCATGATCAAAAGGTTAGCAATGTTAACTGGTGATAAATATCACAAAAATTGTTGGGGTTTTTTTTTTTTTAATATCTTTGTATAACAATCTTCCACCTGAAAACAATTGTAAATTTGTGGCAGATATGTATTTTACATAGTAGCTAGCTAGGTTTAAAATCTCGTTTTTGTGAAAATAATATAAATATATACTTAACTTAAATTTACGAATTTCTTCTTTCACGTAAAACATGATTATTATATTGATTGACCTTATTAAATCATGGAATTCGATATAACTGCCGAAACAATATAAAAAAATATCTCTATGCATATCACTGATGAACTGTTTCAATATTATAATTTAATAAAATTTAAGCTGAAGTTATGAAATATGGCGTTGGAAAAAAAATGAAATGGTAGTGATATAGTTCAAAAGTGTAATAAAATTATATAAAAAATGCTGAAAGCTTTTGTACGTAGATTAAAAAGAAATGATTGTTTTATTTTTAATGAAAAACATCATCTATTAGCTACAGAGAAAATATTGAACCAATTGTAAAAACATACGGAAGAATTAATTATATATTAAATTTTTAATTAAAATGGAAAATATTATCTAAAATGTGACAAAAAAATATATGGCTAAAACATCACCTATATATTATTAATCAGACTGAATATGTCTTTTCCCTAATGAAATTTGTCTTAGAAAAAAACTGAAACAAGAGATTACTGTCCCAGTATTACCTTACAAGTTACAACTAGTTTTTGGGTATTTTTCAAAATGACAACAAACCAATAAATGTCCCAGTATTACCTTACAAACGAGATACCGTGTCGCATATGCTTACAAACATGATATTTATCCGTTATAGTACGTATTACGTCGTATAAGACTTGGAAAAAAACTTATAATATACTTTGTTAAATTTGATTTGACAACATATATTTATTTGTTTATTTAGTCGGTCAATACTCTCTATATATATGTCGCAGATCAAATAGTATTCCACCTACAGTTCAGGACAATCCTCCCAACTAAAACAGCTTCAAGAGAAAAATTTATATAAAACTTTGTCTTTAATCAATCAAACATAAAATGCAGGCATTAGGCTCTTCATTGTTCCCAAACTTTGGGCGGGAGTCGATGGGGGAGTACGAGAGCTACTGTCTCGTCGGAGATAACCATAACAACAACACGTTTGGTGATTTTCCAGTACCAAATATGTATGGAGTGGTTCATCATCATACCAGCTTAGTGGATTCTTTTTCGTCTGAGGGAAATGGAATAGACAAGAACTCGGTTGTCATCAAGAAGCTTAATCACAATGCTAATGAGCGTAACCGTCGCAAGAAGATCAACTCTTTGTTCACATCTCTTCGTTCATGTCTTCCAGGCTCGGATGAGCCGGTAAGTAGCTTACTTTGATATGTCATCTGAATATGCTTCATATCAAAACTAATTAATAATAGTTAGTCTGTATCGACTAGTACCATTTCGGAAAATATCTTAAGAAAGATATAGACGATTTTATAATCGACAATTTGATCGCGTAGGAAAATATTTTAACAATTTTCTTTTGGCCTTATTTTCTTGCAGAAAAAACTAAGTATTCCTAAGACGGTTTCTCGGAGCGTGCAGTACATACAGGAGCTGCAAGAGCAAGTGAAGAAGCTAGAACAAAAGAAGGAAGACCTCTCGGCGCGAGTATCGGGTCAAAGAGAACGTTATGGTGAGCCCCAAGCAAAGGCGGTTGCTAGTTATGTCTCCACCGTTTTTGCGACTAAGCTAAGAGATAACGAAGTGATGGTCCAAATCTCATCGTCCAAGATTCATAGTTGTTCGATATATAATGTGTTGAGTGGACTAGAAGAAGATGGGTTTGTTCTCGTGGATGTTTCATCTTCGAGTTCTCGAGGAGAACGACTCTTCTACACTTTGCATCTCCAAGTGGACAAGATTGATAATTACAAGCTAATTTGCGAAGAGCTAAGTCAAAGGATCTTGTACTTGTATGAGGGATGTGGAAACTCGTTTTAATGATAATTTGTTCTTGTTTCGTTTTAGCTGTGTCGTTGTAGACTAAGGCGCTATGTCGTCTTTACAAGCTTATTCAGTTTTCATCTACGCTACGATTTTATTGATGTAAATACTCCTCTTGTGCCGAAACATTATTTTTTTCCTTCTAATCTTCTTGTTTATATATGTTTTGATTGTTTTCTAGCAAAAGATATATAAAACGAGTTGGTTGAGTTTTGGTGTATAAATAAGAACATGATAAAAGCAAGAGAGTGTGTTTTACAGATTCGCTGAGCAAGTGACATTTACTCAGATTCGGTTGAGTTTTGGTGTATGTAATGGAGTGTCATTCCATTTAAAGACTTTTAACTTCAAATCACCAAATACGTGGTTTATTAGAAGCCGGGATCCTAAAAGTAATACTAAACCTGAACTGAAGCTGGTCGAATATTTGAACAAGTTCACAATCTTGGAGATATATTAGTAGTGACATGCAAAGTATCCGAATCTCAAGAACCAAACCGATCCTAAAAGTAAAAACTAAACCCAAACTGAAGCTGGTCAAGTATCTGAACAAGTTCAAAAGCTTTAGTATTTGGAGAACTGGAATCTAACACCATTCGAGCCAAAATACTCCGGGTTTCGAAAATATCTGAGCCAAAATGATATAATTAAATATATTAGTTATTTTCAGATCTAATATTCACATATATCTAAAAAATAGTAAAAGTTTGAATTTTCAAAAATACAGAATATATATAAAAAACCAAAATTAAATATCTAAAATTGCTAAAAAGATATCACAAACAACAAAATACTCGAAATACTTACTGGTTTTTCATCTAAATATTTAAAACAAACGATTTTGTTTGTTAATAAGGTATTTGGACATACATTATTCAGATTTACATGGTATTCTTTATTTTTATATTTGAGTTTTAGCATATATGGATTTATAAAATGAAAAAATATAATAGGTATCCAGATTCGAATCGAACTTGCGAAGATCTAAACAAAAAATGAACAAAAAATTATAAATAATTAAATATGTAATTTCAAAAATCCAAACTAAACTCGTAAGGGTATTCAAATGCCTTCCCATATACTCTATCCATTCTAAAAATGATATATTTCTAGCTTTTTTACACATTAGAAAAACATGTTAATAAATCTATTATTTTTCGTGATTAGTTATTTCTCATAATTTTTAGTCAATAAAAATTTAGTAAACATAATTAATATCTTTGATGTTTACAATTTATTATTATTACATGTATTGATAATGTGAAATATGTATATTTTAGAATCATTTTTTTCTTCAAAAACATGAATCATTTTGAAAAAGAGGAAGTATATTAGTATAGAAGTACGCATTAGGCAAATTGCAAAACCAACAAAAAAAAACCAAAGAACAAGAAAAGTAACATTATTCTGATAAAATCTTTTGCAAAAGTAAATATAATATTGATTATGTATTTAAGACCACCTTTTGAGTTTTTAAAGTCTTGCAACATATAGATTATTATTAATATTGTGTTTATTTTATAAGAAAAAACAAATACTACATATAAGTATAATTATTGATTTTTTTAATTAATCTAGGGGTATCAACTATTGATTCTTACCTTGAAACAAATTCATTTGGCGAGTTTAGTATTGGTCTAGTTGAATATTTAATGTACTAACTATTGAGATTTTCTAGCCGGATTGGCTAACCCCTAAAATTATTCGGATACCTTAAAATTTGTAGTTAGACAAAAATTTTGTTGTAAAATCCCTATCCGATTTTTATCCGAATCAACAAGAATTACAGAAAAGAAAAACAATATCTAGCTACTGACGATTTAAAGAAAAATAAGAGTTAATAAAGAATAAGTAAAAACAAAATAATAGAATGAAAAATATATTTGTCCCTTATCGTTCATTCTTACCTTCGGTAAGAACTTTTTTTTTTTTTATATAACTTCTTCAATTTAAGAAAATGATAAAAAATCATGGGTAATAAATGAAAAAATATTTTCCCTTATTGTTCATTCTCAAGTATTTTGGATGACTTGAATATATCTTATATTTTTTCAATATTATTTGGAAATTAAATTTAGTATAATTAATATATTTAAATATATAAATCAGATTCTGATATATTCGGATACACAAAATATTTTAGTTCAGATTGGATTTAATTTTTATTTTTTAGAATACCAAAATTTTGTATCCGTTCAGATATTTAATTAGTTTTGGTTTGGATTTGGTACTACTTTTGTGGATCAAATTAGGTTTGATTTTTCAGATTCGGGTTTTTACCCACTCCTAACACTAAATAAGGACAATTTTCAGGATGAAAGTTGTAGGTTCGAAAGGACTATATTAGTTTGAAAATACTTTCTTGTAGACGTAGATGGCATCATGTTAGACCTAAATAATAGATTTTCTGTGTTAAATACTGAGGCTGCATTTATTTAAAATTAAGATGATATTAAACTTCAATATGTAAACAACAATCTTCTTATAATTATATACATGACATATTTTAGTGTAGACACAGAAAGCCTCAAGTTGACCTAAATATTGTAATAGCTTTTTTGTGCTAAATACTAAGGCTGCAATATTTAAAATAAATTATATTTAATTTAAACATATTCTTATATTAATTTAGGAGTATTCCGAACCTATGTAAAGATCCAATATACACCATCGAAAATGTTTGGGACGAGGAAGACGTCAAAAGCATCTTTCAATATGTAAACAATAATCTTATAGTTTTGATACATGAAATATTTTAGTGTAGATACAGATGGCATCAAGTTGACCTATATATTAAATAATGAGGGTTCATTTATTTAAGATAAATATATTAAAATATCAAAATGCTTATGTATAGGCTGACACCATCTAAAATGTTTGGGATTTTTTTTTGTTTTTTCGTGACAAGAATGTTTGGGACTATTTGGCAGAAGAAGATATATTTGAGACGAGGAAGACGGCCGAAGCATCTTTTGGATTTGTTTGGTAGTATGTACCATGTAATGTGCGCACTCAACCACTTGAGCTCTAGTATTAGAAGCACTGACCCATGATTTAATCCAATGAACAGTGGCAGATCTAAAAATTTATTTTAGTGGAAGCAAAAATATATAGTAATATATAATTTCTAATAACAATATATTACTAATAACAATATATTACTAATTTTTTTTTTTAGTTTTATAAAATATATACAATCTTTTTTTTAAAATTCAACTTTGTGATGATTCTCAGTTTTTCTAAAAAATCTTACCAAAATCCAAAAAAGTTAACATCACAAACTCTTAGCTTTCTAAAGATTTAGGAAAAAAAATGCATAACATTTTAGCGAAAAATATGCATAACATTTTAGCGAATATTATAGTATTTTTTGAAAAACAATGATAAACTGAGAGTAATATTTAAAGTCTAAATGTGAAATACTTATAGAAATAATGGAAACAAGCGTAAAAGCATTAAACCATCTGCCATGATGACAAGTACTATTATTAATAGCTCTGTAATTCAGCTAAATTTGTATATTTATTCAAGTTTTTTATTTAAAAAAAACAAATTAAAGACCTGAAAGACACACACGAGAGAAGCTAAAATCTGAATGGGGATAAAACTCAAAATTATAGAGAGATTTAGACAAATACCCTTATTTGAGACCTATATTAGTGATTTGTCCATGATGGGACATTAATGGTTCAAACCATACAATTACGTCTGGAATTGTCCAAAATGCCATTCTTTAATTGAAAAGTTTTTGCTGGTAGCAGAGAAATGTCAGGAGAGAGGAGAGAGGAGAGAGATATGTTATTTACATGTGTTGATAGATTTTCTTAAATGCTAAAAATATTATCAAATAATAATATTTTTGAATGTATAATATAAAAACATTATAATACATAAAATAATTTAACATTTGATATAATTAAAAACATAAATTACAGTTAATTGTAAAATTTCAACATAAATTTATAATTTGTTATAAATTTGATATTACATGTATTTGTTAACAGTTAACACATTTGTTAACATACACAAAATTTATTAACAGTTAATATCTCTGTTAATAATCACTAGTGTCGATAGTTAACAAATAATGTAGATGCTAACAGATGTTTTAGCTGTTAACAAATACATGTTCCAGATGTTAACATGAGTGTTAGTTGTTAACATGGGTGTTAGTTGTTAATAAGTATACATATCAAAGATGTTAACGGAAGTGTTAGATATTTGTGAAAATTATACATCTTAATAGAGGTGTTATGTATTAGCTGTTAACAAATAAATATCATTGAATTTTGTGTTTTCCAATCACAATGAATAATTTAAAATTTAAATTTATTATTTAAGAATCAAAGTGAATTCAAAATAAAAAATATTTAACATCTTTATTTTACATGTAATTCATGTAAAAAAGATAATTAAAAGAGGAGATGAAGGAGATAACGAGAGAGAGAGAAAGAGAGAGAGTTAAAAAAAAAAAAAAAAAACTTGTAGGCTCACGTGCCTAAGTGTAAGAGGAGAGAGACAGAAAGACAATATGATCATCTAATATATTAAAATTGAAGTACAAATTGAAATTAACCCTTAGTTTATCTTAAATATTACAATTCTATGCCACTGATCTAAACCATGTTTAACACTTAAATTAAACCATCTAAATTTAATTAAACTAGCTAACCAAAATATTACATCTATCCACTTCAAACTAACCACCGGCTTTAACACTTTCCAAACCACATCATCTCAGTAACATTACCAAAACCGGAATTAATTAAAAATCTTGACTACTCTTCACGTATATAACATGGAACTTATTTTTTCAATTGTAATTCATATTCAAAAATTTCACAGCGTTATCTGTAACCAAACTCTTATCTTAAGCAACACACATGTATTTTCACGTTTAACCTCCCAAAATCCAATAGATTTTCAATCTTTTATCAGTTTCTAAAATATTAACCTACCTTACAATATATTAACAAAGATATTTACTTCCTATAAATAATAACTACAATCCTAAATTTTAGCTAACTAAATATTGATTCTTCGCACTATCACCATTATACAAGTTTACTCTATCCCCCCCCCCCATTAGGTCATGAATAGCCTGCTTTTTCGAAAGTGTCTCATTCTTTTGGGATTAAACATCTACATTTCACGATTATATACATATAAACAACTAAAACAAATGACAATTCAACTAATAAAATTGAAATAACTAACCTATAAAATCGTATTACACATCTATTAATATTGGTAAGTTTTAAAGATATATACAAGAAAAATTTGAGCAACTTAAATGTTACAGAAAACACCCGTGCGGGCGCACGGGTCAGAACCTAGTTATAATTAATTCAGTCACATCATATATATTTCTCTAATTAAAGGTACTAAAAGGATATGTGAACAAATAATCTCAAAATTATATTGGGGGCATCAAATTAGAAACTTAAGTACTTAGTGAATAATTTATCAATTTGACTGGATGCAGTTGCCCCCTTTTTGATAGATGTAGTTACGTCCCTACCAACGAACCATTTGCAACAAACACTATACTTAAGTTCTTATCTTTGTTTTAAAGATTGAGCGTCTAATCGTTAGGTGCCACGCATCCTCCACAGTTTAGACCAAATTGATCAAAGAAATTAGATGTCTGGTTTTAGTCTGCCTAGATCGTCTAAATAACTGTTTAATCGTCTAATTTTTCTTTAATTATTTATTAGATTTAAGATGTGATACATATAATTTATATTCATAATTTTGATGAAAATTATACTATATTAAATTTCTATTTTATATTTATGTGTTTTATACAAATCTAAACATAAAAATGTATTAATGATATAAATAGTTAGAAATTAACATGTGTTATAGCATCTTAAACAATCTAAAAATCCTGATCAGTATAATTTCTGATTTTTTCTCTATACCTTAGGTTCATCCTGAACGTCTGACTAACTCCTTCCTAACGTGGTTTCGAACATAGGTTCTTATACATGTAATATACGTGTTTGGAATCTTATATATACAATATCTCAAATAGTGACCTGACCTGGTTCATAGGCTCTAGCTCGTGTCAACTTCTACCCTCTTTCATACTAAAAACCCTCTACCGTCTTTGGAGACCCAAATATTTCTTCTGTAGTACGGTAAGTTGTACTTGTACACCACTTATTGATTTTATAATCCTAAGAAATATATATAATATAGTTTTGTTGATTATTTAATCAACAACATGGATTTATTTCGATGTCCATGTTTGGTTGGTTGAATTTAATCACGATAGAGAGATGTAGGGACATGGAAACTCCTCGGATCCACTCTTTAACCGGGGAAAATAAATCAGCAGGTTTTGAGAAGTTTTTTTTTTTTTGCCTCTAAATAAACAAATGGACATAAAAAATTATATAGTTTTGATTAAATAAGTCTGAAAATTGGATCATATGTAAATTCTCTAACAAATGACTATAAATTAAATTATATATATAATATCATTATTCAGGAATTTCTACTAATTATTTGTGCGATGGTAAAGTGATTATTTCTAAATCTTTGTATACCATTTCGTTGATGTAATGAGTCTGATTACGAATTTTAAGTTTAATCATCAAAATGGCAGTGATGCAATTTTTGTATGTAGCTTAATAAATTTTAAGTTTAATCATTAAAATGGCAGTGATGCAATTTCTGATTACAAAATGTGATAACGGCATATAAAAAACTAATATATTTTTGTATGTAGATTAATAAACTGTTATTTCCTAAAAAAACATTTATCTGCTACATAAAAGTTACTGAAGCAATTGTAAAACCTACTGAAGAACATAAATTGTAATAAAATTTGAAACTTGTTAGAGTTATATTAAAAAATTAAAAACATTATCTGAAATGATACAAAAAAAAGTTTTGGCCAAACATCATTTTTATGAATTAGAGAGGATATGACCTTTTCCTAATGAAGAATATTTATTTTATAAAAGAACTGATACAAGCTGTATTTAAAAAAAAAATTCAACTATTTTTTATCAATTATCTTCTGCCCCCAGATATCACAATATTAAATGAGATGCGTGTGGCATATGCGTGTTGCATATGCTTTTGGCATATGCTTACAAGTATAAGATTCACCGTTATAGTATGATTAGTATAGCACTTCAAATAAATAGTTTGTTAAGTTTGATTTGACAACAGGGGTTTATTTGTTTATTTGATTACTACTATCTATATATTTATGTGTAGCAGCAAGTCAGTAATGTTCCACCTACAGTTCAGGACAATCTCAAACAAAAAGCTTCAAGAAAAAAAAGAAAGAAAAAAAAAGCTAAACATTTGTCTTTATTCAAGCAAAAATGCATGCATTTGGCACTCCATTGTTCCCAACCTTTGGGTGGACGTTGACGAGAGAATACGACAGTTACAGTGTCGTCGAAGATAACAATAACAACGGCACGTTTCATGATTTTCCGGTACCAAAGACGTATGGAGTGGTTCATCAGCAGACCAGCTTAGTGGATTCTGTTTCGTCTGCGAAAATTGGAATAGACAAGAACTCGGTCGTGATCAAGAAGCTGAATCACAATGCTAATGAACGTAACCGTCGCAAGAAAACTAACTATCTATTCTCATGTCTCCATTCATGTCTTCCTGACACTGATGAGACGGTAAGTAAATACATTTCATGTCAATACCAGTTATAGTTAATCTGTTTAGAGCATCTTTATGGCAAATACCCATTTGAGTTTCTAATTTTTTTTTCCATTTTTATCTGATTAAAAATAAAAATTAAAAATGAATTAATCGAGGGCCGCCACGTGTCAGTGCAGCCTTTGAACAGTTGAAAAAACCTACTGTAAACGTCTTTAATTTGGCAACTTTGACTCCTGTTTTTTCCTTTTACCTGGCCCTTCCCCTTTTAAAGACGCACTAAATACTGTGATATTGGCGCTCTTATTGATTTGGTAATATACAGTTAGAAGAAGAAAATCTTTAAGAAAAAAAGAAAAAAAAGAAAATTTCTTTAACAACACTTTCTCTTTTCTTTTGGTTTTATTTTAATTCAGAAGCAACTAAGTATTCCTCAGACGCTTTCGCGAAGCCTTCAGTACATACCTGAGCTACAACAGGAAGTGAAGAAGCTAATACAAAAGAAGGAAGACCTCTTGGGTCAAAGAGAACGTTACGTTAAGCCGCAGCCAAAGGTGGCTGCTAGTTATTTCTCCACCGTTTTTGCCACTAAGGTTAGAGACAACGAAGTGATGGTCCAAATCTCATCGTCCAAGATTCATAAATTTTCGATATATAATGTGCTGAGTGGATTAGAAGCAAATGGGTTTGTTCTCGTGGATGTTTCATCATCGAGTTCTCGGGGAGACCGAGTCTTCTACACTTTGAATCTTCAAGTGGACAAGGTTGATAGTTACAAACTAATTATGGAAGAGTTAAGTCAAAGGATCTTGTACTTCTATGAAATATGTGGAAACCCGTTTATGTGATAATTTGTTCTTGTTTCGTTTGCGTCGTCCTTTTTTTCTAAATACAATTTGTCATTCTTATCCAATGCATTGTAGACTTGCAGTCGAGTTGTAACTGTTGTTTTGATCGAAGCCAATGATGTATTACTAATTGAGTTTTCGTTAGCAGCTCAGTTGATCCCCTAAATCAAAACGTTGTTAATTGTGTTTACTTCCGACCGTTGTCAACTGAATTAAATCCAACGAGCCTAACAAGTATTCCCTCCGTTTCAGAATATATGTTATTTTAGACTTATATTTTTTGTCACAAATTAAGTATCGTTTTAGAGTTTCGAGACAAAATTTATTAGTTTTATAGAGTTTCGAGACAAAATTTATTAGTTTTATATAATATTTTCTTTTTCTATTGGTTGAAAAATGGTTAGGTTTATTGGTAATTATGTTTTTATCTTAAAAATATGTAAAATTAAATATTTCTTTATTCTGTATACAAAAATCTAAAATGACAACTAAAATGAAACAAAGAGACTAACATTTATTTATTTATTTTGAATGAATGTGCCAAGTAACATTTATTTAATGTTTTAATCGATAAGACACTTTTATCGTTTTGGAGTCGATAGCTGCTATTCGATCACCACGAATTTTCGTTTTTTGCCGTAAATAACCAAATCAAATACATATACTATCATACTATCAAAATAAATTTGTTTTTTTTTACTACACTTATCCAAAGAGAACTTTAGAGTTATCTGTGTTTGGTGGAAATCGATGATCGATTACTACATGCTAATTTTAACTGCTTACTACATGCTAATCATATTACAGCAATAACTTGTTTTTATCTAGACTTCGTTTTAACATTACCGGTTACAAATACTAAAATAAATGTGTTGGCTGGCAACCTTTTGTACGGGAAGACCGGTCTCCTGCTACTCTCTGTTTATTTATATTTTTTAGATATAAGTTAATAATACTTTTTGCGAAAGATTAATATATATATAATTATGTTTGCTGAATTATTAACTAAGATGAGATAAGACAAAAAGAGGGTTAACCGATTACAACTGCACAACTACTAATATCATCAATTGTCGGCAACATATACTAAATAGTTTTACATGATTTTATCAGTACTAAATTTTGGCTTTCCGACAGCTTGCAAAATTCATATTTTTTTTCACAAAGCAGAATAATAAGACTCTCATATAACGTTTTCAAAAAGTAAATCTTTGTTTTGCTCTAAACATATTTAAATATATTTTTTACTACAATATCACTGGTTAGAGAGGTTTGGTTTCTTCTACGTTGCAAGCTTCATTGGACGTGTGCTTCCCGATTCGGAATCGGAATCGGAACTTTATGGAAGCTTGTGGAATTTCGATTTTAAAACGTTTCTAAAATATCCTATATAAAAACAAGTTGGAAGCTTACGATTCCAATTTAGAATCACGCTTCCAATTTTAAAAACACAATATCATATATAAATAAATAAAATATAAAATCATTTTTATTTTTTATAATATATAGTGAGAATATATATATATATATATATATGTAAATACTAATATTAATATTATAAATCATACGTATGCACTGTTTTTATTAGAGATATATCACATATTCAAATCTTGTGTGCCAATTATTTATTAAATATAAAAATAACTAATTGGTAATATTTGTTTATAAACTTAATTTATTCATATTTTCACAATTATAATATGCAATCATTTTAAATTATGATAAATGAATAAACATTTTGTTTTAAATTAGATCATATAATTCTTAGTTATAAATTTAATAAAAAAAATTATATTTATATTTATATTTATACATACATATACATATATATTTATATATGCTTACAACACGTATTTTTTTTTTTAAATCTCGATTTCGTGATTCTATACAATTCTGTTTCCGCGCTTTCGCTTCCATTTCCATGTAACATATGGTTTCTTTGAATATATGACATCAAATAAAAATGTTAGCCGTAGCTTTCAAAGTACTATCTGGAAATGTGGGTCACTAAGAATCTATGAAACTTCATTGATTCACATGTACGGCTTGGAAATATTTTTGACCAGTTATTATTCAAAAAAAAATATATTATTGACCTGTTTCTGGAAGAGTAAACTAAACTATAACATATGTTAGTGTAGACATAACTGACATCAAGTTAGCAAAATATTATAATCTTTGTTGTGTTAATAATGAAGTTCAACCAAATATTATGATCTTTATTGGGTTAAATAATGAGGCTGAAATTATTTATTTTTATTAAATTTCAATTGCTTATGTATAGGCTTACATCATGCTTATGTATAGGCTCACATCATGGTTATGTATAGATTCACATCATGGTTATGTATAGGCTTTCATCATCGAATGGACGAAGGAAACACTTAAAATATCTTCCATTTTATTGTAAGCTCAATAAATTAGAGTTTGATATAAGTTGTGGTGTGACACATAATTAATGTTTTATGGTATGTTAACTGGAATTTTGGTTTGTGTATGTCTTGTTACACATAGATGATGGTGTGTAACAAACTTAATAGCATCACAGTTTGAACACATAAAGATAAATGATGATGAAAATATATGAAAATTTAAGCCATACTTAATTCCATAACTAATGAAGCACAATTTTTCGATAAAAATATAAAGATAAAAATCGGTGAAGAAAATTTTGCAAGGCTTGCCTGTTAAACTTATTTTACATAAAACTACAATAAAGATACAAAAAAACATTGATGAAGGAGAGCAAGAAATAAGATTACCCAATTGTTGGATGAAGATGGAAATGTGGTGAAGGATGAAGAAGGATTGGTAGCCATTGCTACAAATTACTTTAGACAAATCTTTCAATCATCAAATTCTGAGGCAATAGAGGAAGCACTTTCTGAAGTATCAACCACAATTACCCTAACAGATAATGAGACTTTAACAGCTCCGGTCACAGAATGGGAGGTTAAATTGGCTCTGTTCGCGATGCACCCAGAGAAAGCGCCAAGACCAGATGTAATGACGGCGCTGTTTTACCAGAAATTCTGGGATATTGTAAAGAATGATTTAACTCTTATGGTTAATCAATTCCTATTTGAGGGAACGGTGCTATCTGGACTAAATGATACCACACATTGCATGAATTTCTAATTAATATAGCAAATATGTATTATTTTGTATCTGTAATATGCAATTTTACTTTATAACTTATTTTCGATTTTTTATTATATTATATAAGATTGTTAAAGATTCAAGATACTAGTTTGAATTCCAAGTGTTTAAAAAAAAGGTTAAAGACATATTTGTAGAAAATAGGTGACGTTCTGAAATAGATTTGGGAGCTTAAGACATGCTAGGTTTCTCTTTCCAAACAGCTTTGTTGTCAAAATTTAGAAAGAATATGTACTGCTTAGGCTTCTTTCTTTCTATTGCAATATAGTAAGTATTATTAAAAATATCCATCTCTAGTTGCTAATGCTTGGACATAAAGTTTCATTATTACCATCTAGGAGAACAAACTTTTGTTCTACTAAATATCAAATTCTATGAATTTTCCATTGATTGCATGTATATCAAATTAGTATTATAAATATATAATAAGTAATTTCATCTTAAAACTTGTTTTCGAAAATTGTTATTATATCATATATAATATTACAAGATTCAAGGTAGCAATTGTAAATATAATATATGTTGTTTGATCTACAAGAATCCTAAAATTTAATAGGAAGATCTTAGAAATTTAGGTGACACGTGGTAGTTCTTGACAATTTTCCTTTAAGAACTTGACTTTTAATGTGGTTAGATATTTTAAGCACCACTAAAAAGGCTAAACTTGATTACAAAGGCTAAACTTGATTACAAATAACATTTATGGGAAAAAATTGATTTTTCGTAGTGATTAATCCACATATTTCAATTTAAATTAGAAAATATCAATTTTTTTTTTGTATTTATGCGTAGCTGTTCGTACACTGATATATGATAAATATATAAGAGTTTTGATATCTAAGTTGTCCATATTCTCTAGAAAATAAAGATTTTATAGGATTTAGTTAATTGATTTTTGTGGTATATGAATTTTTATTAAATTTTTCGGTTGAAAATTAGAACTGATGTCCATGTACCATTAAAATAATTTTAGTACATTAATATAAATTTTGAATGTGGTTAGGTATTTTTAAACAAATAAAATAGGCCTATATATAACATTTATCGAAAACTCAATCTTTTCGTAGGGGTTTACCTATATATTTCAGATAAATTAGAAAATATAGTATTTTTGTTTTAATGAATTCTGCATCATACACTGACATAGTATGAAGAATAAAGAGGTTTGAGACATCAAGTGTTCCTGTTTTTCCCGAAAATGAATTTTTTATAGTGGTTAGTTTACTTATTAGGTGGTATATGAAGTTTTAATAAATTACTCATTGGAAAAGTAGAAATGATGTCCATGTACCATGAAAATAAGTTTAGAATATATATATATATATATATATATATATATATATATATATATAAATTTGGAATGTGGTCATGTATTTTTATACAACACTGAAGAGACTAAATAATATAGATAGTATTTATCAGAAAATTAAATCTTTTTGTAGAGGTTAACTCACATATTTAAGATAAATTAGAAAATAATTTTTTTAAAGAATAGATGCATCATGGACTGACATATTATGAATACTAAAGAGGTTTGAGACCTTAGATGTTCCAATATCTCTAGAAAATAGAGATTTTAGGGGCGAATACACTAATTATGTCGTATATGAAGTGTAAACAAATTACTCGTTGGAAAATTAAAATTGATGCCTATCTATCATGAAAACATTTTTAGAATAAATTAATATACATTTAGAGTGTAGTTATATATTTTAAAAAAATATTAATGAGACTAAACTTTAGTATATATAGCATTTATTGAAACACTCGATTTTTCCGTAAGATAAATTAGAAAATATGATATTTGTTTTAATGCATAACTTCATTATGCACTGACATGT